ACGATGATTCGTTGAGGGTAACTCGGAAGAGTTCCACGATGGCCATGAGGCAAGGTGTCGAAAGAAACGGTGCTTGGATCCCTCTCTTTTTTCCTTTGTTAGGAATTTTATCGATTTCTTGGGCAAAAAATCAAGTCAGTGAAGATATAGATGAGAAAATTGCTTTTGATTTGCCAGGACAACAACAACCAATTTCGTTTGCACCATCTACAACAGATCATTTAAGCACGGGATATATTGTCTATTGTCCCTGTATGGGTGAGTTTCCACTGTCTTATGTTTTCCTTTGTTTTGTTTGTTTGTTTTTTTGTTTGTTTGTTTGTTTTTCGAAAAGTCTAAATTTAGTAGAAATGGCTTTGTGTTTTGAAAAATCTCCCGTTTATTTTAGCGGATCATAACGATCCTTTGACAAGCTAAGCAGAGTGAAGAAAAGTGTGAATAACGCAGTACATTCATTCAGTTTAGTGACTTTTGTAGCAGGGAAAGTCAAATAGGTGTTTAACTACTGAGGTCAAATTAGAGCTCCTTTTTGGAAATATGATTCTATTATTTGTATAGCTTTAAAAGTTTAAACTTGAAGTTCATTTTACTATCAGACAGCCCAGTGTAAGCAAATGTGGGGAAATGAAAACAGATCTGTTTGCACGACTAGCAGTCTCGCTTAGGTATTTTTCATCATAGCCCTATTGTTTACTATCTTCAACATTCTTTGATTTGGCCTCACAAAAGCACTCTCTTAAAGACCAAAGATCTTTATATGAAAGCACTCAATTTAGTTTAGTTTAGTTTAGTTTAGTTTAATTGTTTGCTACAAATGTACAAAAAGAATAAGTTGTAAGAAAAATATCAGTGAGGTAAGGTAGCCTAAGGAAGCCAATAGGGCTTATATAAGGGATTACCTTTACCACAGTTTTTTATCGAAAGTAACAACTCTTTGTTTAAAAATGGAAAAAGTGTAGTCAGGAGATGTCAAGAGTTTTATGGAAAATGATTGCCTCTGACTGTTGTTATTTCTGAAAAAGATGTTTCAGCTAATGCTTAAGCCTTCATCAGTGATATGAAAAACGAACATCGTTATCATATGCTATTTGAAGTTAAAAACGTGAGGCGAAGCTTGCGTGCGTAACTATGAATTTGATGCTCGCACGCAAGCTTTGCGTCACGTTTTTAACTTTAAATAGCGTATGATAACGATCTTCGTTTTTCATATCACTGATGAAGGCTTAAGCATTAGCCGAAACATCTTTTTCAGAAATAAAAACAGTCAGAGGCAATCAATTTCCATAAAACTCATAACAACTCTTTCATTGGCAGGAATATTTCACTGTGACTATATTTGTTAAGTAATAGGCTGCACTTTCTAATGGTTTACTAGGATAATATAAAGTTAGGTAATAGGCCATACTTTCGGACCGCCTACCAGTTAGCTCAATTGGTTAGAGTGCTGGACTGTTGTGTGGGAGGTCGAGGGTTTGAGCCCCGGCCAGACCAACACTCATGGTCTTAAAATATCTGAGGAGAATGTGCTACCTTTTTATAATATCAAGAAATGGACAGACATTCTAGTCTTCTCAGACAAGGGCAAATAAACTGTAGGTCCTGTCTCCTGCATCTTTAATTAGATAATTTGATTAGGCAGGGGACATTAAAGAATGCACATCATGAGATTACTGTGATGTAGTCTGGCCTGGTTACTGGGAATTGAGGGGAGGGGGCATCTGTAAAGAATTCAATAAAGAGGCCTAAGGGCTGTATTCAAAGATAAACACTCCACCTATGAACGTTTGCTGCA